AAAGAAAGAAAGAAAGAAAGAGCGAGCTTGAGCTTTGGGTTCTGTTAATCATAGTGGAATCATTGAATTCCCATGGAAGACAAGGAAGGCAGAGGAGAATGAAAACTAATGTTTACTGAGTGTTTTCTATTCCCATTTGTCAGATGGGAAAACTGAGGCTCTGAGAGGTTAAATGACTCGGGTGTGTCGGAATCCAGAGCTCCAGGTCTCCTCTACAAGTGGAAGTGGGAGCTTGTCCAGAGATGCCCTCGAGGCAGGATGATCCATAGGCTGCCCCTACTCCAGAGCCTCCTAGGACCTCCTGAGTACCATGTCTGAGTTACCATGTCTGTGCAGATGCAGAAAGCTAGGTAGTTCCAGTCAACATCTGTGTTGCAGCAGCTTCGAGGACAACTCTTAGGACACTGCCCTCTGGTGGCTCAGTACCTCTACACTCAATGCCATCTCCAGCCTCTGTACCGGAACTGGTGGCCTGAGCCTCCATTCGGCCTGGCCAACACACACATAGCCACTTAATGATTGGCTCCTCTGCCACAGGGAGTGATGGCATTAGCTGCACTTGTCACTTGGGATGTGCTGTGGATGCCACACTCCATCCCCCAGATGGGTTTGGTGTAAAAAGGACAAGATTGAAGTGGAATCCAGCTCAGCTTGGGAGTACTGGAGGCCCCCCTGCTAGATGCAGGGCAAAGAAAAGGGACTTGGAAAACAGATTTAAACCACGCCACTTAATTGCTGTGTAACCTCAGCCAAATCCCTTTGCAAATCTGAGGTTTGACTCTAAGAATTAACACCTACTGGGCCAATGGCCATGAGAATTAAATGAAATTAAGCACCAGACAGGGCTTCTAACAATTCATGGGCATTTAGAAGGCTTTTTCCTGCTTCTCTTTTCTTCCCTTATAAAATGAGACCTGTTTAGCAACCTAACCAAGCAAACAGGGTGGGATGGGATTACATTTCTGGCTCTAGCCTGGGCAAAGCTTCTCAGATCATGAGACTGCTTAGAGGAAATTGAGAGGCCCAGGGCCAAATGTTACATCTTCCTGGCCACCAGGAAGGCATTATTCAATAGGAATCTTGGACCTGAAGACTGGATGGTTCCCCAACTCACTAGATCAGGGCAGTTTCCTGTAGGAGGGGGAGGAATTGAGGAATATGCCAAAGTAGAACCATGTTCATTCAGGCCAGACCAGGAGAAAGACACAGACAGCCAAGGGCTGGCAGAAAGAGGCTGGTAAGTATGTGAGAGAGAGGCCATGGGCAAGCCTCCACTTCTCTGTCCCACATGTCGAGGGCCCCCACTCCCCCTTGTCTACCTGGCAAATGCAACACACTCGCCAAGAATCAAATGTCCTTCTCTATGACTTCCCCTTTGACACTGCCCCATCCTCCCTGCTCTTTTGCATACCAAGTATCCCTGGCCTCTGCTCCTGTTATAGGATGGCTATAGGGAACATCCATTCACCACGCACACGTGCCTCTCCCTCACTAGACGGGTGTTCTGGTGGCGCCTTTCGCATGCCTGTTCATAGGAGAGCTCGATAAACTTTTGGAAAATTGAAAGAGGCAATGGAGGACATGGGAGCTGCTCCAGGGACCCCCTTAAACTCAATGCTTAGACTGGGAGGGACAGGGACTGGGGAGATGGACTAAAGGAAGAGAATGAGTATAATCATCGGTAGATTTATAATGTTGATTTTATAGCTGGTATTTTCAATGAGTCGGGACAAAAGAGCTAACACAACAGACAGAGGAATTATGAGGGTTTACCTGTGTGCAAAGAGGTTCTTTACTGATTTCGTAACTGTAAACACTTTGGAAATAACAGCATTCACAATAGGAGATGTGTTCTAGAAATGTTGGTACATTCACACCATGAGATACCTTCAGCCATTAGAAAGAACAGGCAGATCTATAAGATCTGACATGGAAGGTGTCACTGATATTGGGAAACAGCGTGTTCATGTTGCCCTCATTAAGAGGACTTGGGTCAGCTTGCTTAGCTTCACTTTTCTACGCCTCATGTGCTACTGAGCCTTGGGAACATTTCTCATCCTCTCTAATCCTCAGTATTCTCACCTGTAAAATGAAGAGAATGGTAGTCCCTGCTTCAAAGAGTTGTGAGGATTCGAGACAGGCGTGGTGCAGTTGTAAGCATGCATTAAGTATTCAATAAATGTTTGCCGTGATTACTAAATTAAAAAAGGCAAGCAGTAAAAAAGCATGCTATTGCCCCAATTTTGGTTTTTAATTTTTTTGTACAGAGATACATATGTATATAAATACATATCTGCGTATAATTGGATAAAACGACTGTTATCAGTGGTTATTTCTGAAGCATAAAACGAGAGAGAAGAAATGAAGAAGGGACTTTTTTTGGTTTGGTTTTGTTTTTTTAAATAGTCTTCTTTTATTAGAGCAATTTTGGGTCACAGCAAAATTGAGGCTTCCCTGCATGTACAACCTTCTTTACTGTCAACATCTCCCACCAGAGCGGCACATTTGTTTTCATTAATGAACCCGTATTGACACATGATTGGGACTTACACTTTTAATTTCTGTCTTGTTGCCATTTCTACAATGAACATGTATTGGTTTTGAAAGTAAAATAATATGAATGAATGGCTGAACCACACCCGAAGCTCCAGAAAGACTAGATTCTAGAAAGTGGCTTGTTTCACAGATGTTGCCACTGAGAGGGTGGTCCACCCAGGGCTGCCTGGGAATGAGGCTTGAGCCTGAGCACCCCCATTCTGCTGTCACCAGCGTGATAGGTCACAGGCTGGCCTGCCTGGCTGCCCCTGCTGTCTCAGAGGGATGCCTGACAGCAGCTCCTGAATCTAAGGAGGCCAGGCCTCTGAGCCATGCACCACCTCCACCCACAACAATGTTCCTCATGCACACACCAGCTGGAAGCTTCAGGAAACCCAGGGACCAGACCTGGGAGGTCACGCTAGCAGCAAGGATCCTTGGGTTATCTAAGGTCAAGGCCCTGCTCTGAAGGAAGAGAGAACTGGGGGGAGGCAGCCAGCCCTGGATTCAAAGCCTCCCCTGACACTCACTACATGGTGTCCTTCCCATGCACCTGCTTCCTTGTCATAATACAAGGATTAACCCGCCCACCACACAAGGTCACTGTGAGGATGGAGTGAGCTCTCTGGGACAGCACCTAACTCATGACTTCCTAACACGGGAGGCTCTCAGGAGGTTTTTGTTTCCTGTTTACATGGCTGGCCCCACAAGCCTAGACCCAGTGATAAATAAGAGAATGTCTGGCTTGGTCAAGGTGAGTATAGAGTTGGGAGTGTGCTTCCTGGCAAAGTTGGGACAAGGACAGGGCAAGATTGTCTTGGCTCCCAAAAGATGCAGCCCAGAGGATAAACTGGCTGTATTTCTGATGCTGATGAACCATGCTCCAAACAAGGTCTCAGTCTCAATTTTGGGTGGATTTAAAACATAATCCTGGGCCAGGCACGGGGGCCCATGTTTGTAATCCCAGCACTTTGGGAGGCCAAGGCAGATGGATCACTTGAGCTCAGAGTTCAAGACCAGCCTGGGAAACATGACAAAACCCCATCTCTACCAAAAATACAAAACAATTAGCCAGGTGTGGTGGTACATGCCTGTAATCGTAGCTACTCAGGAGGCTAAGGTGGGAACATCTCTGGAAGTTGAGCTGCAGTAAACTGAGATCACGCCGCTGCACTCCAGCCTGGGTGACAGAGTGAGACCCTGTTTCAAAAAAAATAAAAATTAAATTTAAAAAACAGAATCCTCCAAAATGAAGTCATTCGTACCAGGAACACAGAGAGAAGGAGCTGTAACCAAAAGGTATGGAAAAAGGCCACCTCGCACGCATGCTGAGAAAATGCTAAGCCAACCACCCACCGGAGAGAGAGGCTGACCGGGAGCCAGTGAGCCTCTTGGGCTGCCTGCTGCTCACCTTGCCCCCTCTGTTTCCCAGGTGATTCCTATTTCAACCCCTCGGTGTGAACAGCTCCTCAACATGAACTACAGTCTCCACTTGGCCTTCGTGTGTCTGATTCTCTTCACTGAAAGGTGAGCTTTGCTACCCCCAGAATGACCTCCATCTGAGTTGGGGCATGTGGTGGGAGGGGATAGCTCTTCCTACTCACCCACAAGCAAGGCAAAACCTGGTCCACTCACTTCCCTGGAGCACCAAACAATGAAACTTCCCACCATTTACTCCATTTACAGAACACAAGCTTCCAATACGGTCATAGATGGATGAGCCCTTGTATTTTTCAAGAAGACACTTGGAGGGTGTGTCTTCTTCTATCAAAATTATCAATCAAATTGTCAATCTTCTATCAAAATTGCCATGATATTTTGATCTATGACAAGTGGGTAAAAAATGGAGATACTAACTCAATAGCTGAAAATTAAGAGATTTGTCTTTAGGAATATCACTGCCGGTACATGGACCCGGCACATACACCTACGCACACATGGGCAAACGCAAGCTCAAGGGTGTGCACACATGTTGATTCACATAAGCAAGCATGCACAACAAAACCCATTTCTTTTCCAGGATGTGCATCCAGGGGAATCAGTTCAACGTCGAGGTTGGCAGAAGTGACAAGCTTTCCCTGCCTGGCTTTGAGAACCTCACAGCAGGATATAACAAATTTCTCAGGCCCAATTTTGGTGGTAGGTCATCCTCTGTGCCCAGGACATCAATTCAAAGGGATGGAAACAGAGACAATAAGCAGTGGAGGGTTTCGGGAGGTTTTAGTTGACTCTGTTTTCTGATCTGCAGCCTGTTAAAGATTGGCAATGATGGATGAGGACGGCTACCAATGATTTTTCACACTGCCTGGAAAAAGGCACCTTGCCTCTCTGCCTGCAAGATAAAGCAATACTCTTCCTCACTGAGGAGGTTGCAAGAGCCTCCTAACAATCACTCACACACTGTCCTGCTCCTGCCCCCACTTCCAGGGTCCTTATTCAATGAATTCACCAGGTGCCACCAGGCTACCCCATCTGGTCTTCCCCCTCCAGCCTGCCCCCTCTCAGCTGACACCTCACTGCCATCCGGATGCCTCCTGGGTCATTGCCCTGTTTGGAACACCTGTACGGGCCTCAGCTTCCTCGCATAGAGTCCAGACACACCAGGTCCTTCACAGACCAGCCTTTGTCTGTCTGTCATTCTCATCTGCCCAAGTCCCCCCTCCTTCTCCTCCTACAATGCTCCCCAGTGCACCCCAAACATTCCCTGACATCCTTGCCCTCCCCCGCCTTGGTGCCTTTACAGAGGCTATCTTCGTGGAATTGTTTCTTTGAACTTGAAAAATGTCAATTTTCCATCATGTCTCAGAGCAAAGGCTGCCTTCTCTGAGAAGCCTCCCCTGGTTCCTCCAGGCAGCCCTTGGAGGAGTCTGACTTCATTTCCCTCACTATCCCCCATAGAAGCTCAGTGCATGACATATAACAAATTGCTGATTAATGTCTGTTGAAAAAATAAAGCAAGGAGGGAAGGAGCGAGACCAACTAAACAGCTCTTCATAGCAGAAAGCAACAGAAAAAGCCTTGGCATTGAACAGACCTGAGTTTGGCTCCTAGCTTTCCTGCTCGGCAAGTACTTTAGCCTTCTGTGCCTCAATTTCCCTTTCTGTAAAATGGGAACATCCCATCTATCTCACAGGGAGGACTGAATGAAGTGAATTATGTAAGCCTGAGGCACAGTGCCTGCACCATCAACAGAGGATGAGTTATTTTCATCCCTTCCTGATTTGATCTAGGATTCATGTGGTAGTCCAGATCTTCTGAAGAGCAGATGCCAAGAGCAGATGATTTCTTTAAGCTATTTAGGGGGACTATGTCTCAAAGGGAGAATTGTCAGACCTGCAAGTCTGGCTCCAGAGAAGGAGAGAGGGAAGGAAGGGAGGTTGGGTAGAAGTGTCTTAGATGGTAGGGCAGTCCTCAGTGTGTTTGGAATGACCCACCAGGGAGTCCTTGAGCTAGAGGTACCATCAGAGGAGTCTCCCATCTCTCTGCCTCCCAGGAACAGGCCTGCCTTTGTATCCCCACTGTGTTCAGTCTGTGGTTGGCTGTGGCCCATGAGAAGCATGGCCTCAGAGCAAGCGTGGTGTTAGATTCCAAAGCACAGAAGCCGGGACCCTCAGTCAATCACATCTGCTCAGTTGGAGATGGGAGACGTGCATTTTCATTCAGATTTGAGGCACAATTAAGATGTGAGATCCTTACATTAAGGAGCTTAGAGAGGCTTCAACATCCCCTGGTTTTCCCAGGCCCTACTGAACACAAATGACAAGCATGTAGCCTTGGTTAATGCCACTCAACAATTTCTCTTTCCTCCCAAACACCAAACAATTAAGCCAGAACGCAGCCCTTCTTGTTTGCCTATTCACTGGCCAACAAAGTGCAGGGTCCTTGGGCAGGGAGTTCATTCTGAGAACAGGGAGCCTAGGGTAGGCCTAAAGGGATGTGATGTCTTATCCCACCTGGGGTGAAAATGGGGCATGGGGTCTTCAGCTAAAAAAAGGGGAACAACATAGCCCCACACCCCTTGTTTTGTGCCTTCTGGCACTTCACTCCTGAAAACCCGTATACTTGCATGGCAGCCTGGAGACCCATGGAGGGCCGTTGCTCTCCTAATATCTGTGCACCCAGTTTCCAGGACGCTGAGGTCCAAAAGAGACAAGACCTTCATAGGATTTCTCAGGAACAGAGCTGGACAAAGCAAAGGTTTGTAAGCTGGCACTAGTGAACACTACGCAGGAGCTGGCTTTGACCTTGTTCCTAGGAGAGAGCTGCCCTCTGGTGGCACAGCTTGATCTTATAACTCAAGGGGAAGAAAGAGCAAGCTCTGGTCCAGTAAAAAAGCCAACTGAAAACAGGTGTGAAACTGCAGCACAGTGTGGGCACAGTGGCTCACGCCTGTAATCCCCGCACTTTGGGAGGCAGAGGTGCGTGGATTACCTGAGGTCAGGAGTTCAAGACCAGCCTGGCCAACATGGTGAAACCCCATCTTTACTAAAAATGCAAAAATTAGCTGGGCATGGTGGTAGATGTGATCCCATCTACTCTGGAGGCTGAGGCAGGAGAATCACTTGAACCCAGGAGGCAGAGGTTGCAGTAAGCAAGATCACACACACTGCGCCTCCAGCCTGGGTGACAAGAGTGAGACTC